CCTAGAAACTAATAGAATATCTGCCTATATTTAGTACTTTGCACTAAAAATAACACATATTAAGGAAGATTTAGTAAGGTAAAACAGATGCTAGCTCCTAAATGTTGAAAGACATTATGTAAGTTTCCATAGCTGTTAAAGGATAACAACTGGTTATGCCTTGTTAATTTTCTTTAGTAATGCCTTCCCTTCACATATTACCACCATCCCTTATTGATACCTCTCAGTCCAATATATCTGAAAATATACTATCCTATAATTACCTGCTTCACAGTGCTTACTCCAGGAGCACTTAAAACAATGTTGAGTAATAAATTGGAGATTGGTAGACATTTTGACATTGAGACTAGGTTACCATACAGTTGTTAAAAGTTGCTTTGTTTCCTCTATCCTATCTTGGATTACTGATTGTAGTGTGAGACTATGTTTACCTTTCTGCTACATCTAGCCAGCAACTACTACCAGAGGCACTTTAAATAAATTTGAGTGGGAAATGGGAGAATAGCAAGTATTTTGTTATTGATCCTTGTGTGTAGCAAGAGTAACATTTGCTGAGTAATTAGTACATTTATTGCATATAATAATAAATTAGTTATCAAATATTAGACTTTGGACAAAACTGCATGTATACCAACAGTTGCCATACCAACAGTTGCCATTTGAGGCACATCTTTGCTTACAGAAAAATAATAAGCTATGCTGGCACAGAGATGTGGAATAGTCTCTGTTTAGGAGACAGATGTAAACACATGGCTCCATTTGTGAGACTAAAGGAAAGAGGTTGTGTAAAGTTAAGGGAGCCAAATAAGTCTTGTCCACACATTACTATAGTATAGCTCTAAAACCACCATTTAGGTGGTCAGCCCCCCTTAGCTCAGGATAGAATGGTGATTTACTCACATTTTTTACAGTTCTGTGCAGGGATCCTCATATCTGATTCCGCCCCTGATCTGCATCCTTGGCTGGCATCATCAGAATTTCGAATAATTTTCATACATAAAATAAATCAAAAAGGACATACAGAATGATACACACAAAAACAATAACACAGAAAAATTGAATTTAAATATCATCACGAGTAATTTACAACTCAAGAAACCATTAAAGAGATAGAAAATCTTAATTTAATTATAACTTATGTCCACCAAGACTGTGAGCACGAGCCAGAGATGGTCAAATACAATTAGTATATGCTTTTTGGTAGCCAAAAAACAATGAATTATAATACATTTGGATGTATAGGATGATAAATTCCAGTTTATATGTCGTAGGGCGGTATCCGGGCCCGGAAGGATTAAAATGTGGAACAAAGATTTAAGCAATTCGAAAGACCACCTCCGTATAGGTGTGACCAATTTACAATACCACCATATATGACAAAAGGATCCATCAAATATAAATGTAGAAAAGAAACCAGGCACTCCAAGGTATTCCAACAAATAGGCAATTTTATTGGACCCAAGCACCAAAAAACAACGTTTCAACCCCTTAGGGCCTTTGTCAAGCTTGACAAAGGCTTGACAAAGGCCCTAAGGCAGGGGTTCTCAACCCAGTACACAGGACCCCCTACCAGTCCAGGATTTGGGGATTACCTGGGTGTGTCTAAGGTGTTTAGAAAAAGGGAAGAAAAAAAAACCTTAGACTCTAAGGTGTTTTTTTTCTTTTTCTAAACACCTTAGACACACCCAGGTAATCCCTAAACCCTGGACTGGTAGGGGGTCCTTGAGGGCAAGGTTGAGAACCCCTGCCCTAAGGGATCGAAACGTTTTTTTGTGCTTGGGTCCAATAAAATTGCCTATTTGTTGGAATACCTTGGAGTGCCTGGATTCTTTTATACATTTATATTTGGTCCCTTTGGTACTGGGGCTTATCCAGCCTATTGCACCCAGGTTTCCAGGACAAGGGATAGTGTGCATTTCCATTACCTATACATGGATAAAAGGATCCATTAAGACAACCACAGCGTGAACAATGATTGCTCTGGTCTGGATACATCTTGCTTAACTTATGTGGAGTTAAATACCATTTATACATAATTTTGTATTGGCACTCTATTAAATTCAAACAATGAACATTGTTACGAATGTCTCTAAGAGTGGCGCACCATTCAGCATCAGTAATGTCTATATTTAATTCAGTTTTCCATCTATATATGATGTTTAATGGTTGCTGGTCAGATATAAGTATCAGATTGGAGGCTTTAGAAAGGGTTTTTTAAACTTTATTATAATCAAATATTTCATGAATATAAGAGCTACTTTTTGAGGTAGATTTCAATAAAGCTGTATTCGGTAAATTTTTAATCCTTAAATAGGAAAAAAGTTCTTTATTGGGGAGATGTAATTTAGTTCTAATATCGGCAAAAGGTAATATCTGGTCGTCCTGGAGGATATCTTTAATGGTCCATTGAAATTTTAGACCAGTTTTGTAAAGAGATATCTTGCATATTGTCTTCCAGTACGGCCAAGTGAGCTGTCTTTATTATTTTATTATATATTTTTAATCGCCTTTTTATTAAATCCCATGCCCTTATAATTTGTGACAAGATTAATGAGTGTTTACTATATTCATCTGTCCCCTTTTTGTTACTCTTAAACCATAGGTATACTTCCAATCTGTATAGATAGTAGCTAGTGTAATGCCCAGGAAAGAGTGAGTCTAACTAACACTAGGTCGCTAAAACTGGAAAAATAGGGATTCACTAAAATCTATAAATAAAGGTAGTCAAAAAAACTCTCTAATATGGTGTACAAATACCAGGAGCTGACCTATGATTATGGCTAAAATGTAATAGTGATAAAAGATAAGATGTACTGTGCCTTTAAGGAAACAGTGAGAGTCAAAATTGTATATATGCGAGTGCAAATATAATTGTGGAAATAAAAAGGAAGGAGTAAAAGAGTAAAAGATGATGTTAATAATAAAAAATAAAATATAAAATTGTAGCAAATAAAAACAAAAATAAAATAAATTAAAATAAAAATAAAAATAGGATTAGAAATAGTAAATGGTAAAGTACAGCAAATGATATGTGCAGTGCAAGTATCTCTGTCCCTGATCAAAAGCAGGGTAGTTGATACTTGCACCAAATGCTATACTTTGTAACAAAGATACAATAAGGATAAAAAATATATATGTAATGTAGCAATACAGTATATGGAACTGTTTGCTATAGTAACACAAACAGTGTATCACCAGAAATGGAAAGCAATGGTACAAACTGGATGTATATTACAAAAAACAGTTTATTGAAAAAAGTTAAAAATATAAATCAGGAATAGTTCATACAGTTATTACCAGTCTTATGAGGCTCAGAATTATGCAGGAACCTTTGTATTCGGCTGGGATTGATGTGGATTGACTTTAGCCGATTAGCATTTAATACCCTGCCGCCGTTAAGGACGGTGTGATTCTGTGTGTGCGTCCCGATAAGGATCTCACTCCGGGGGACGTGCACTGCAAACAGCTCGACTCTGCAAATGCGCCAATGGTCCTGTGTGGATACGGACCTCTGCTGGTTTGCACTCTGTATGCTGGATCTAAGTTCTGATGATTCAGTGTGTGTTACGCGTTTCGTAGGGGGATGCCCTACTTCTTCAGAGACGGGATGTGGACCATTGCTTCCATATTTCTTATATATGTACGCTTATAATTGTTAATAAAAACTATAACAATATATTACATTCTCATTACTGAAAACAACTTAAATGTACACATTAATTTCGATGTGTATCAGATATGAAAATAGAAATTGTAACATAATTATATGTTAATCAAAACCTGATTGCCTATTAAGGTACTAGAGACATATAAATATATACATTGTGTGCTTCATAACATAATAGTAGACAGTTACATGGTATAATGCAACATAATTATACCACTCAATAACAATAATAGCAACATGATATTGCTAATAGTATCTGTGTAGTCGCTCAGATCAAAACAAGGTAAAAAAGATGGTAAAAGAGAAGAAAGTGAAAAAAAATAAAATAAATATAAGTATACCAGTTTCTCCATTATTATATGGAACATATTTCTAATACTGTGTGTTATATTAGGAGTCTTTCTGTAATATTTGGAATTCACAAAAAGGTATAAAAGAGTATACATATAATAAAATACATAATAGACATAACAAACACAAAATGAAATGAATAATCTCTTCATCTGAAATAAAACACATATATTAGTGAAAGATGATAAAGGCATGAGATCAAGATTGAGAAGGATAAATTCTATGAGTTATATAACTTAATAGTAAAACATTAATAAAAGTGATAAGTACAGTAGTGCAGCAGTAGATATGTGTATAGGTAGAAAATATCTAAAGAGTGAATGTGATAAATGAGGGATAAAATAAGAATATAAGAAAGTGGATCTGTACATAAAGTGTGTCTAGATGAATAATAGTGGATTAGAGAAATGCATGTAACTCAAAATCTTTATTTAGTTCTTTGGGGGCTAAGGTTTCTAAATCAAAGATCCACTTTGCTTCTGTTTGGTCTAGTATTTTGTCAATGCTACCTCCACTCCAATGTACATTAACTTTTTCTATAGCTAAAAATTTGAGACCCATAGGGTCTCCCCCATGTATTTCCTTAAAGTGTTTCGAGAGGTTGTGTGTTAGGAGTCCCTTTCTAACATTCCTAATGTGCTCCGCAATGCGTACTTTCAGTGGTCTCTTCGTACGTCCAATGTATTGTTTTGGGCACGGACAAGTAATGAGATAAATGACTCCTGCAGTATTACAATTCATCTTACATTTAAGGTCATATTCTTCTTGGTTAGTTAATGATGGAAATTTTGTAGTTACTTCTTTCATTGAGGGATTATTTTTACATGCTGCACATTTCTTACACCTTGTAAATCTATGAGTGGAGTTCTGACCTCTGGTAGTACTAGGGGATTTAATGGTGGATGCCAACGTAAGTTGGAGATCGGGGGCTCTTGTGAATATGATCTGTGGTTGGTGACCAAGGAATTTGGAAAGGGTTGGGTCACTCTTCAGGATTTCCCAGTGTTTTTTCAAAATCTTCTGTATTTTCAGCGCTTGATGGTTATATTTCGTGATGAAGGTGGGTGCCGAAGTGTGTGATTCCAGGGTTCTATTTCTTTCACATAAAGTGTCTTCTCTTCGGATAGATAGTGCTTTCTCCATGGCTCCTCCTAGTAGTGTTGCAGGATATCCTTTATTTACAAATCTTTTCTTCATTTCTTCCATTTGGTTCCTGCATACATCTACTTTGGAGCAGTTCCATCTGACTCTCCTAAACTGGTTCTGAGGAATATTCTGTAACCATGTGGGTTTATGATGACTGTTAAAAGGAATAAAACTGTTGCAATCAACATTCTTCTTAAAAGTTTTCATATGGATTTTTCCTTCCTCAATGTAAATGTTAAGGTCTAAAAACTCAATCTATTCTTTGGAGTGATTAAAAGTAAATTTCAAATGATAAGGATTATTGTTGAGGTAGATCTTGAATTCCTCTAGAGATTCTAAATTCCCTTTCCATATGCAGAAGCAATCATCAATATATCTACGCCATAGGGACAGATTTGCACCAAATGGGCAATGGGTCCATATAAATTCTTCTTCCCACTTACCCATAAATAAGTTAGCGTAACTTGGCGCAAATCGTGTCCCCATGGCTGTGCCTTCTATCTGGAGAAAAAATAGATATATCACACCAAAAATAATTGTGAGTACGAATAAAAACGATGCACTGGATTAAAAAATCAATTTTCTTAAACTCTGAGTATGTGGGTAGAGAAAATTGCACAGCTTCACATCCCTGCAGATGTTCAATCACTGTATATAGTGAGGTGACGTCAGCAGTGACTAAAAACATATAGTTGTCCCACTTAAAATCAGATAAAAGATTTAAGATTTGGGTAGAGTCTTTCAGATAAGATTTAAGGCATAAAACTAAATGTTGTAGATAATGATCTACATATTCTGAAAGATTGGCGGTGAGGGATCCGATTCCGGATATGATTGGTCTTCCAGGGGGTTTCTCCAGTCGCTTATGGATTTTAGGGAGATGGTAAAACCACTGGTATCCTTGGGAATAAAGTGTTTAAGTACTTAAATTCTCTTTCGTTCAGAATGCCCCTATCTTTCCCATAACCTAATATTTCTTTGAGTTCTTTCTGATATTGTAAGGTGTCCAATCTGTCCTTACCAACAGCTTCCGATTCTATTCTATACCATGTCTCATTTTTGGATGTTTCAATCTGGAGTTTGTGAACGTGCCCAATAATATTTGCAGAATAGCAATTTCTAATATCTGGGATTCGAACCCCCTTGTTGTTTCCTAGTTAAAACTTTATAGCTAATTCTAGGGTTTTTAGATTTCCATATAAAAGGACTGGAACAGGGCCGTCTTTAATAATGAATGGACCCTGGGCAAGTGTTTGCTTGGGCCCCCTGTGCCCTGCCGCTCTCGCCCCTCACTCCCTGTTATGCAATCACGGCATCCATCCCAATGCAGTGGCGGTACTAAAGTAGAATGAATTTTATTGGGACCCCCAATTGCAAGGTTGGACTAAAGGTAGTACCCCATCTGTCGTGCAACTCCAACAATGCTTTGACAGCTGGGACTCTACCAATTTCCCATGCTTGCAGGGTTGTATTTAGCACTGAGCCATGTTAGTATGTTTGAATGTAAGCATGTGTTTGTATGGAGTATGTTTGTGTGAATGTGTTTGTATGTGGTACTGGAGTTTGAATGCAAGTGTGCATTTATGTGTAGTGTTTGTTTTTGAATGTAGGAGTGTGCTTGTATGTAGTGTTGACGTTTCAATGCAGGAGTGTGTTTTATATGTAGTGTTGAAGTTTGAATGGAGGGGTGTATTTGTATTTAAAGTTGCGGCTCAGATGCACAGGTACACACTCTGACGCACAAGCAGATACACAGATACATACACTGACTACATACAGATAAACAGGCACATACACTGACAGACACACTGACACAGGTACATACATTGACACACACACATACACATACACTGGTAGACGTACTGACAGACATACTGACACTGGCACATATAAAGACATACTGACACACAGACACATATACCGACATACTGACACACACACACAGACACATACACTGATCAACATACTGACACACATACACTGACAGAAATACTGACACCCACACACTGACAGATATACTGACACCCACATACACTGAGAAATACTGACACACACACACAGGCACATACACTGACACACACAGACTGATATACTGACACACACACACACAGACATACTGGCACACAGACAGATATACTGACACATGCATACACATGCACAACAGACATACTGACGCACTGACAGACATACATACTGACACACACAGATATATACACACATATATACTGACACACAGACAGACATACTGACACACACACACAGACATGCTGACACACACACACATACACTAACACACACATACACTAACACACACACAAACACACACGCACGCACAAACACACACACACTAACACACATACACTAACACACAAACACACACACTAACACACAACACACAAACACACACACACCAACACACATACACCAACATACACACACACATACACTAACACACACATACACTAACACACACACACAAACACACACACACAAACACACACACACACACACACACACACACACACACACACACACACACACACACACACACACACACACACACACACACTAACACACATACACAAACACACTAACACACACACCAACACACAAACACATACACTAACACACACTAACACACATACACTAACACACATACACTAACACATACACACTAACACACATACACACACACACACACACACATACACTAACACACAAACACACCAACACACACACACCAACACACACATACACCAACACACAAACACAAACACAAACACACCAACACACACAAACACTAACACATACACCAACACACACATACAATATTTTTAGAATCCCCCAGCCTCCTTACCTATTGGAGTGCTGGGGGGATTCCCTGGGGTCCAGTGGTGCTGCTGGGCTCCTGGCCGGTCGGGCAGGAAGGCGGGTGCGCGAGGGAGCACTCACTGCTTCCTCTTCAGCTCCCTCGCGCGCCGCGTAGGGATGCCGGCGCCGGAAGATGACGTCATCTTCCGGCTCCGGCATCAGTGCGGTGCGCGAGGGAGCTGTAGAGGAAGCAGTGAGTGCTCCCTCGCGCGCCCGCCTTCCTGCCGACCGGCCACCCGCCCGCCGGGGTCAGCGGGGCCCACGGGCAGGTGCCTCGGGCCCCCCAAGAGAAACTGGGCCCGGGGCAGCTGCCCCGTTTGCCCCGCGTTAAAGATGGCCCTGGACTGGAAGCTAGATTGTATCATGGCTAACCAACTATCCGGCATCTGGAGGGCGATCGTCCTGAATAAATATGACCATTTAGGGAGGATGTAAGCATTAATTATATTAATCCTGCCGGACCAGGAAGATTCTAATGAGCACCATTCTTTTAGGTTGATGTTTGTGTATTTTATAAGGTTAAGGACATTTGTTTCCATTGTGTTTTTAATTTGGGTTGTGATCAAAATACCCAAATAGTTGAACGCGGTCTTAGACCATATAAAATCATAATTATGTCTTAACTCAGCTAAGTTATGATCGTCAACCTTGATAGTTACAGTGTTTGATTTGGTTATATTTGTAATAAACGTTTAACTCGCAAGTTGGAATAAACTTGGAATTAATAATAACATTAATAACTAAAAATAATAACTTAAAATAATAACTTAAAAACCGAGTGTAAAGTCAGAGTCCACACTCCTTGCTTTCGGCAATTCAATAATATTTATTAATAAAGGCTTAATCAAACAAATAAACAATACATATACATTTGAAATAGGCTAGTGTATGTTGCTACTAAAACTAACATTGACTGAATGGAAAGTAGGCTAAATTAACATAGTAGAAAAGGCATAGACACATGATACAGTTACCACTCCATCGATCAGCAGCTGAGAGTAAGAGAGAGATGGTGTGTATAGTGGGGAGAGGGGAGAGAGGAGAGAGAAGGTGAAGAGAGGTAATTCAAAGAAGAGAGAAAATGTGCTATTCACAGGGCTTTAAACAGGTTAGTCCCTCCTTCTGCTGGACACACCTCCCTTAGTCAATCCCTTAGGATGTCACAGAACCAGAGTGCCTGCTGGGGGAAGGATTATTGCATTGGAAGGGAATGGAGGAGGAGTTTATCAACAACCCAACTGGTTTTGCCTGGTGAAAGGCCATGTGCTTCACAGAGGATTCCATTATTGCCTAAGGGTAGAATGGGGGCTTGAATCCCTGTATTAGAACACAATAACACTTCATTGGCATACAGTTTGGCTGTTAATCACATCCCCCCACTTATTACAATATTTAATTTATAATTTGGTATTTTTGAATAGCGAGAAATCTCATCTAATATTTGAACTAACAACATTATTGGAGAAGCAAGAGTTAGTAATATGTCGTCAGCATAGAGAGATATATTTGCTTCAAATTTCTTGGTTAAGAATCCTTTAATCATTTGATTTGATCTAATGTTTATAGCTAGAGGTTCTAGGGTCAAGATGTATAAAAGAGGGGATAAAAGGCATCCCTGCCGTGTGCCATTTTGTAAATTAAACCAAGCTGATAAAATGTTTACTCCAATAGTTCTTGCTGTCGGCTCTGAATATAGAGCCATTATGGCATCATGAATCCAACCTCTAAAATCAAACGATATTAATCCAGCTGACCCTGTCAAAGGCTTTTTTTTCGGCGTCTAACGACAGGGCCAGCAAGGGGATATCTCGGCGCTCTGCACTGTCAAATATGTGTATGATTCTTCTGGTACATGACTCTGATGATCTGCCCTGTACAAAACCAACCTGATCCGGATGGACAACTGTCTCCACAAATGGTTTTAATCTATTTGCTAAAATTGATGCATAGATTTTCATATCAGTGTTAATCAATGATATCGGTCTATAATTTTTAACATCAGATGGGTACCCATTACGTTTCAATATTGGAAGAATATTAGCTTGTAATAGCACTTTTGGAGTTTTTGCTTTTTTAGCCATCTCATTAAAAAGAGCCGTTAAACGTATCCTTATTTCTTTTTTCATGATTTTATAACAAAGATTGCTAAATCCATCCGAACCAGGGGTCTTGTTTAATTCCAATTTATCAATTTCTCTCTCCACCTCCTCTAGCTTGAACTCATGATTGAGTTGAGCTAAATCAGGACTGGTAATTCTTGGTATATCTGTATCTTTTAAGTATTTATTGATTTCTTTTTTTGTCTGAGGGTGTCTCAAGATTATACAAATTGCTGTAAAATTTATTAAAACTTTTGCCAATTTCTTCCGGAGAGGAGTATGTAATTTGGTTATCGATAAATTTATCAACCCTGTTTTTATTTTGTTTCTTTAATCTCTTAGTCAGATTCTATTAGCTCTATTCCCTAGATAATAAGTATTTAATCCAAGTTTATTAATTTGTTTTTAAATCTCTTCTTCTATTTTCATATTGATCTGTTTTTGAAGTTTAAATAACTTTAAATTAAGTTGATACGATGGTTTATCTTTATTTAGTTTAGCCACGTTAAAATTTTGTATATTTAAATCAATCAGATCTTTATCTATTGTATTTTTTGTTTGTTTTTCTATTTTAATAAGATAACCTCTTATAACTGCTTTATACGTGGCCCACAAGGTAGAATCTTGGATATCAGGGCTAGAATTTTCAAGCCAGAAAAATCTTGACAGTTCAATTATGTGGTCCTGATTTAAGTTTAAACAGAGAATCATTTATTCTCCAGGTGTTGGAGGTTCTAAGGTAGGATTTACCTATTTGAAATATTATATAGCTATGATCGGACCAAGTATTGTCCTTAATTTGAATTGTGTCAATTTCTCTCAGTGTGCTATCTTTAACTAAGCAAAGATCTATTTGTGAATACGAATTGTGAACTTTAGACAAGTGAGTGTAATCACGTTGGTCTGGATGAAACACACGCCAAGCGTCGTACAGATCATACATGGCGCAAATATTAGACAATTTTCTAGCTTTTTTTAAAATTTGGTTATTTGATTTCCAATGAGGATGAGTATTTTTTATCAATCTTAGGGTCAAAAACACAGTTAAAATCTCCTGCTATTAATAAGGTACCTGTAGATATTTTGTCTAATCTAGGCATTATTTTAGAAAACAAAGAAGTTGGATTTATATTTGGCAGGTAGACATTGACCAGAGTGTATAACTTAGTTTCTATTGTGCATATAATTATAAGAAATCTACCTAAAGGGTCGCAGTCTATAAGTTTTATATCATGTTTTATATTTATATCGAAAATAATTGCTACACCTCGTTTTTTATTATCATTAAGAGATGCATGGTATATATGTTTATATTTTTCTCCACCCCATTTTTGTGGTTTAGAACCTAACCAATGGGTTTCTTGGACAAAGGCAATTTGTATACCATTAGTTTCTAAAGTATTATAAAACCTTTGTTTTTTTCCATCTTGTATTCATACCTTGTACATTTACAGAGATAAATGTCAACATCCAAGTCTGGGTGGACTGTGTATTATAACATTATTCTTTCTCTTAGTTAAGGGGACTCGATTAGAAAAATTTATAGTGATTTTTGCTCGATCAGACAAAATACAACCACACATACAACAAAAAAAGAAAAAGACAAGACCAAAAATGGAATGGCTAGTTTCCATTAACATTGAACAAAATTTATCCCCAAGGACAGGAGCCTTGGGTTCCCCAATCTTCAAAGACATCGAAAGAATTAGGGCTAACTGTGAAATATTACAGAAAGAAGGGATTTAGTTCAGCGCCATAATTGATTACTAATTCAATGAAGGGGGAGAGGGAAAAAAAAAAT